AGAACTGGTAGTTTACATTTTCTGTGCGTCCAAAATTTACCTTGTTCTTGTCGAGGCGTCGAATTCAAATCATGTATCCATACTTTATCTTGTCTTCAAGCTGTAAGTCGAAGCAATAATACTACTAGTCATCTCTGATTAAGTATACTCCTAAGTTGTGACTAGAAATGTCCTCGAGAAAGCCTTCGCCGTCAACAATTGCCTTGTCTCCCCCAGGGAGTTCTCCAAGTTAACGTTTGTCCTCCAATCTAACTCTGTCCAACCCAACCCTCCTCGTCGAACAGGACCTCGAGCTTGATTACTTCTCTGTCATTGCCATTTTTACCACCAAGCCTGTTTTTCTGATTATCCTTGCATACACGCTAGACAAGGCCTACCATGTCGGTAAAGGCGGTTCCGAGGAATTGGATGCCCTTGACTGATAGCAAGTGTGACGATTACGAGGCCACACTTGACAGCACTGCGAATACTTGTCAAATATTGGTGACTCTGTTCGCCGGCGGTATACCATCGACTACCACAACAGCATGAACCAGACGGGCAAAGACAACGACCATGGATACAATTCTGCGTGTCCGGAGCACAGCTCTCATCTCCAATCTCGCCCTACTATTCAGCTAGAACTTCGCACTGAAATCTGACATAAAGGTGCGCGTTCTGGGTCCGCTCACACATGGTCATGTCAGCGCTGGATACATCTTTCTACACAAAATCTCATATACACACATAGAACAGTCCACAACCACCGACGAGACATTCTTTTCCCCGACTGCCCGCAAATCACTGCCAGCACGTTCTTCGAACCACCCGAAACCCGCCCTCGCAACTCAGCGCCCCGTTGATGAACCGCGAAGTCCGCAATCTCACGTTCGATATTCCTATCGAAGCCGATTCTCCTCGCCTCAGCGTTCTCTTCAGCCCACGACTCACAAAACAAATCCTATCCGTATACCAGACCACGATTTGAACCATACCTCTCAGAGATGTCTCAGAGCTGTCTACACGCTTTCGTCCCAGGGTTCACACAGTACCTTTATACGTCCCACAATTGTCATACCAGTAGCGCATATATAATCGAGAATCGTCATATGTGACTTGTTCTGCCTACACAGAATGCATTAGTCAATCCCCTCCTCCCTCCTCCCATGATTATAAGACTCTGTCTGGCCGACACTCAACAGAGTCCGTTTGCGTTCCACGCTGATTCCATACACCCACGCTTATTTTGGGGGGAAATGGGAAATTTGACATACGGTAACATGCAGTCCAACCGCTTCTTCCGCGCCAGTTTTTTTGGGCTTGTCGAACACGTAGCACGCATTTTTTTTTTTCAATACAGTATTTTGCAGGCAAAACACTGCTCCCCCACCCCGGAAACTCTTAGCTAGTGGTGAGATTGTTAGCCACCTTGACTTTGAGGAAGAAACAATTCATCCACGTTTGGTTGTTTGACTTGAATGGCACGACTGCATACAACAACTTATCCAAATGTTCTGTTGTTGATTCAAGTAATAGTCAAGAGGTACATCTAGAGAACAAATACAAGACAATAAACCATATTTCCTGTTGCCAAAAAAAGTATTCCAGACTCTTTGTTGTGATCTACGCTGCACCGAAGATTATCGGTAATTGTTGATACGCAAGCGTCCAATTTATGCTTATCTTACAAGGCCCCCTGTACATTTTATACGAGCTAAACGATTCATACTGCGCCAATCGATATTCACAATAAGAAATAAAAATAAAGTTGCTCGTCAGCACTGGACAATTCACATGTGAATATTCAGGATGGACACTGCAAGAGCAAAAAAAAGGATGTCGCTAATACTTGGCGGTACTGGGAACTGTAGACATGTTAGAAGATGTCTCAGGACCACCAATGTTTTGTGAGGTTGAACGTACTCGAACCCAGGCTGGCGCGGATCTGGATCGGGACAACAGAGTTGTCCGCCAGCCACAACGCGACGTCATACCACTAGACCATACCACCGTAAGGTGTTTGATGTTGTTTTGATGGAATTTTGAATATTTGGAGACATTATATAGCAAGTGATTCAGAAGATTCGCAGCTACGACAAGATTGCTGTGTGCAGTCCCACCATCGCCTACGTAAATGGTGGGGCAGGGACCCCCGGCAACATCGTGCGCCTCATGTTTTCACGTGCATTGTCGGAATTGGAACGTAGTTTGAAGAATCTGACCTCCGTCCTTTGGACGTACCTCACGCATGGCGACTTTGAAGGGCATTGGCTATAGCGGCTCGCTTGATGAATATATGCTCTGTTGGGAAACTCTGTATTGGCCCACGTTGAGGCACTGTGACAGGAACAAAACTCAAGCATATTCATAGATAGCAATTTAACTTGAAGGTGAAGCTTGCATTTGTTTGGTGCTTATGATGAGGTTATCTTTTTCCAAACAGAGTAATCGTCCGAACTATCTCTCAAGGCATACGCAGGTAGCAGGTGGTTTCTAAATTACCCTTACACACAGAATGAACAACACAGTGTGTACCAATTCTCCAAGTTATGTTATGATAAAGATTGTAAATGGTTGACTACTGCATATTCATCAGGGAATGTTGAGCTGGAGCGAGAATGGATCGGGAACGGTGTTAGGCTAGGTCGCCCGTTCCGATTCGATTCCGGTTTTGCCGACAAGTCGGGAAATTTTCTGGATGCGCAAAGCAACACTCCAACAGCCATCTCAGCCAAAAACACCAACCATGGCCGAACCAGGTGCGCAGACCCCGCCTGCTGGCGGGGCATCCCCAGGGTCTGGGAAACGTCCAAGGCCTCCAAATCCCGTCTGGAGAATGATGGGTACGTTTTTTCTCTCTTCTTTTGCCTGGTAATAGGCTTCCAACTAACAGTCACAGGTCTGCCAAACTTTCGCTTTAAGCTACCGTCGCGCAATTGGATGATATTCCTTTCTATTACTGGATCATGGACTGCGGCGGTAACGTACGATCGCCGGCAGAAAAGGCGCATACAAAAGAAATGGGCAACGGTGGTGGAGCATATTGCACATGAGCCACTCGACGTACATCAGCTACCCCGAAAGCTCACGGTATATCTATCTGCACCACCGATGGATGGCTTGGTGTCTGCGCGCGATCACTTTCACGAGTATGTTAAGCCTATTCTTGTTGCAGCAGCGATGGATTGGGATGCGGTTGAGGGTCGAAGAGAAGGGGATGTCAGAGCAGGTTTAGCAGAGCGGATACGAAAGTTGAGGAAGAGAAGAGGAGAGCCAACTGCTGAGCCCATAGAACCAGGTCTTGCGGAGGATCTGGAAGGCTTAAGGCAAAGAGCAGGAGTAAGCGAGTGGCCTGGCCCTGGAGGAGATATTGTTATCGGAAGACACACATGGAAAGAATATGTGCGGGGACTGCATGAGGGCTGGTTGGGTCCATTGGACCCTCCGCCAGCGCCAGAACTGTTGATAGAGGCAAAGCCAGTGGAAAACACTACCACCATACCTGCTACAGCCGACGACGCATCTCCCACAGCAACCACCAATCCCGAAAAGCCAGAAGAGGCAGAAAAGCCAAAAGAGGAAGAGAAGAAAACGAAGAAAAAACAACCCCCACCTTTTATCTCGACAGCCGAATATCAGAACGCGACGCTTTCTCCAAACTGCCCCCAGGCCCTCGGTCCTGCGGCCATCATTCCTTTCCCGCACCTTCTCGGCTTCTTTAATTTCCCAATCCGCATGTACCGCTTCTTGAATCAGCGAAAGGTAGCGGAAGTCGCTGGTAAAGAGACTGCAGCTGCAGTTCTGGGTGCGTATCGACCTTTCGAGTCTTCAGGTGAGGGTATCGACGGGGAGCCAGAACAGAAACAAGTACTCGCACATGAAGAGCCAGACTGGCACAAGAGCGCGAAGAAGCGGGAAGAAGGAGAGACAAAAGAGAGGGTTTTACTAGAGGACATGGTATTGGATCCGCGCATCGCAGAACGCATGAGGCGCTTCGCATTGGACGCCGAGGTTGAAGAGCGTGCAAAGGCCATTTCTGTACCAACAGGATCATCTTGGTTCAGTTCTCTTTGGCCAAAAGAGAAGCCCAAGGCCGCTTGGGAAGGATTGAGTGACGACTAAAGCACTCACAGCTACCACCATCTCCCCTTCTATTATGTGTTTATAGCAGTGGGGACCTGTAAGAGTAGACATGTACCATGATAGCATCTAGCAGCGTGAATGATACCATATAAATTTCTTGCCGAGAAAAAGATCCCTTTCTTCTGGTCATATGGCATGTCCCCACGCCAACCTAGAGACCAGAGGTAGTAGAGCTTGGCATTGACCAGCTGCCCCGCCAATGGTCCGAAGGAAGCTTCGAGTCGAAATGCTATCGCGCCACTCACAATCTACAACAACCTCCGTACGGTGTAAAACACGTGTCACAAAGTGTACTGCTAGAGTGAAATAGTACAAAACACTCTACAGCCAGTTCGCGACACGCTTTCAGACAGCACACATACAGCCATCATGGTAAACTGCCCCACTCTATGCAAGTAAACTTAGTTGACAACAATAGGCTTTCCAATCCAAGAAGCGCCTTGCGCTTGCGATCATCGACTTCCTCCAGACTTCACAGACTGATGGCTCAGTAGCGCCCGATGACGCGGAACAGCTCGAGGTTGCCGCCAACTGCATCAGCGAGGCGTTCAAGGTCGACCTCGACGACCAGGCTGCGAAGAAGGACGCAATTGGTGACCAGAACCTACTCGCAATCTATAATGTCTACGAGAAGCTCAAGGGAAAAACAACTGCGACCACCGAGGGCAGTTCATCTGCAAAGGAGGCTCGCCCAGCAACACCGCAGACGCCTGCTGCTAGCGCATCAGGACCTGGAGGGCCCAACAAGGATGAAGCTGAGAGGCTGAAGGGACTGGGTAACGAGGCGATGAAGAAGAAGGACTACGAATCTGCCGTTAAGCACTACACTGCTGCACTGGAAATCGTACCACTCAACCCCATCTACCTTTCCAACCGCGCCGCTGCGTACTCGGGTCAGGGCAAGCACGAGCTGGCCAAGGAGGACGCCGAGATGGCAGTCGCTGCCGACCCTAACTACTCCAAGGCATGGTCACGTCTTGGTCTCGCAAAGTTCGTGCTTGGTGACGCAAAGGGTGCTATGGAGGCGTACAAGTCCGGTATGGATGCTGAGGGTGGTGGCTCAGATGTCATGCGTAGGGGATACGAGACCGCCAAGAGAAAGGTGGAAGAAGAGGGTGGAGACGTAGGTGCTGCCGATGCGCCTCGAGGTGGTGCAGGTGGCGGTATGCCTGACCTCTCTTCGCTGGCTGGTATGCTCGGTGGTGGCGGAGGCGGAGGCGGTATGCCTGATCTCGCCGGTCTCATGCAGAACCCGATGATGAGGCAAATGGCTCAGAACCTGATGAGCAACCCGGATATGATGAACAATCTTATGAATAACCCAAGGATAGCGGAGATGGCTCAGCAATTCGGTGGCGGCGGTGGACGAGGAGGAGGTGCAGGCGGAAGTGGTGGTGGTGGTGGCATGCCCAACATCTCCGATCTCATGAACGACCCAAGCATAGCTGAGATGTAAGTGGAGCGGCCTAAAGCGAAATGACAAAAGCTAACAACTTATTAGGGCCCGTAACTTTATGGGTGGAGGCGGAGGCGCCGGTGCCGGTGCTGGTCGCGGAGCAGGAGGCGCCCCCCAATAAGTCGTCGACTAGTGTAGTACAGGCGATAGCATGATTGCTACAAAGTGTATTTCACGAGCAAAAATAATGATACCATGTTCACTTTGGTGGTTTCCTGTCACTGACTGGAAGGCTTCTACTTATGTGACTCTTGTGACCTAGGCGCGTTCCTGAGGCGCGTTCGCAGGCACAAATCTTCAAGAGTTTCTGCGGCCAGCTGTTACATCTATCCAGTTTCCCAGAAAATAAAATCATATCCGCAGCCCTGTGCTGCTCGATCCATGAATCCGTAAACTTGGTGCTCCTATCACTCCATCACTTGATATCCCACGCTTCCTCTCCCCTCAATCCAACTTCAATCCCCACAGCCCATCTCCCAGATAATGACCCGCCTCACACGCCTGTCCCTTCTTAACCTTCTTCATCTCCTCCGTCCCCATCTTCAGCACGCCAACCATACACGCCGTCTCCTTTCCCTCAGCCTCAATAACCACCACAGCACCCTCCTTCAGCTCCTCCGCCCCATATTTCTCCTTATCCTCGTCGCTCAAATCAGCACCGGGTAAGCGGCCACCCGGGGATGTGAGACCGGGCGCCATGAGCGTAGCGCCAGAGAGCACGAAGCGGATTGCACCGCGGTCGATGCGCAGACGGTTGAATGCAAAAGGGTATTTGTGCACGAGGGTGAGGTGCGGGAGGAGTGCGTCGTCCATGTGTTGGAAGAAGAGGGGTGTTGAATTTAGGGTGTAGAGAGATACGCGGTCGGGTCTATAAGTAATTTGCAAATTTACTGTTAGGTTTTATCCATCTTTGTCGGAAAAAGGGCGTGGTGGTTGGTATTTGGGGAGGGGGAATACGTCTGCTGCAGATGGATATGTAGGACGTTACGAAGAAGACGTACAGCTTTACGAGATCCAATTGCTCTTTTTTGGGCAGTATGTCTTCGATGTAGGGTTCTAGCTTTGGGTATTCTTCGAGGACTTTGGAGCGGATGCCGCGTTGCGCGCTAGATTTTACTTTGGATTTCGCGCCAGGGGTTATGCTGCGGTTTTGTTAGCTTGGTTTTTCGTTTGTGCAAATTTGGGTTAGAGAATGAAGCTGACTCTTTCTTGAACATTTTGACGGTTGCAAGTTGGAGGTAGAGGTGAGTTACAGGGTGTGTGCTTGGTGTTGAGACTTGCTTGCGGCTGCCCCGCGGTCGCACAGGTGCCCCTCACTGGAACGCGCTAGTGGGCTGCTGTTCAGGGCTCGCGTACCTGACCTTTACTTTTGATCAATGCATTCTTAGATATCGACGTATGGATAGCTGATTTCGAATCTTGCGTGATTTATCGTTTAGCACCATGAGTTGTGTTAGGCTTACAATTATAACGTTAAGGCGTATACACATGGGTTGTTATTAATGCCGGGGCAATGTCAGGGCATTGCCCAGCAATTGTATAGATTAGCATTAGAATAGACTACAAAGAATTGGATTAACCTCCTCATGTACACTACCACAATTCGAGTACATAGCCACGATCAAGGTAGCCCCCTCCCGCTGTTGACAGCGTCTGCTAGTTGACTCGTCCCCGGTCTGTTTTCAGCGTATCTCTCGTAGCTATCCAGATAAAGCTCATCGGTGCTCGTAGTCATCCTTACACTCTTATCCGCTTCAATCGCATCGACCCACTGCTTCCACCTGCTCCCCGCCTCGGCCTCTGGCCATCCCCTGTACGGACCCAACACTCTTCGTAAACGGATGATCCAAGGTGCAATCTGCACGTCTACGAAGGAAATATGGGGACCAAGGAAAAAAGGCCCAGTAGGATCTGCTGCATCGACGAGCTTTCCGATTTGATTACGAAACTCGGTGGCATGTGAAACTTGATCGCTTTGGTCCTGAGCTTGAAGGAGCTTGTAGAAGCACGGAATAATGTTGCGGTTGATGTGGTCGGACCAGAGTCTTGATGTAGCACGGCTCTGAGCGTCAGGAGGTAAGAGAGGTGGACCCTTCTGAAGGTCTTCAAGGTACTCCATAATGACAGTAGACTCATGGGTTGACCATGTTGGGCCATGCCTTAGCGCAGGTACCAAACCACGTGGATTGACGTCAAGAAGACTCTGTGGCTTTTTGTAGGGATCAACTTCAATGTACTGATAGGGTATTTGCTTGTGCTCTAGTGATATCCAGACACGCTGCACGAAGGGACTTGGTCATGTTAGCACTGCATGTATGACGTCATCTAGTTGTATGGCGTGCTTTCGGATTTGGATAGAAGACTTACCAAAATGCGCTGCCGTACAGCTTGAGATCATCTTCTTTCGAATGATTCTTCACTGTTGTCAAGGCATTGCCAGTGGCCTTTTTATGGTATGTCTTCTTGGAAGGATCTCCGCCCTGGTTGGTATCGGTCATCTTATGTCGTACAGATATGGTAGTGAATCGTAACTTGAATTGAGTTTCAAGGGAACAGGTAGATTGGTGAGAGAAGATTTGAAAAGATGAAAGACGACTCGTATGGAGTGATGGTGGTTGATGGGTAATAACACGAATAGGGTTGAAAACAAGAGGCATTAATGTTGTGTTGTAGTACCAGAGAATTGTTTGGTGAAGAAACTGGGCCAAAAATGCAAGTAGGGCAAAACCCGCGCATATGAGATGCTGGGGTGGAGGGTTTTTAGGCAAGCATCAATATGACGTATGCGCTCAATTCCCTGGCATGATAGGCCTTCGTTACACGCTATCATGACCAGGTCTTTCAACAGAGCGAGAAAGCAACATGTAACGCACAATGGAAATGAGGAGCTTACATGTGATTTCTTTTTGTCTTCTTTGTCCGCTTTCATCTGCCATCTGATAACACTATTTTTCTTCACTCGATCACTTTCTTCAAGGGTATGTTTGTGTGGCCCCGCAACGCCATCGCCTTTGCCATTCCCACCATTTCCGTTCACCCTTTGAAAGGTGTAGAACTTTTGGGGTGGAAGACTAGGTGGCGGCATATACTGTTGTAGGTTCAACTCTGGTTGGCCACTCATATTTGGAGGCATGTTCCAACCTCCAGCTGGCTGCTGTGGCAGCAAAGGACCTTGACCGAAGAACTGAGGATTTGGGTTCTGATTTTGGTCTACCACCTGACCCGGATTCATTGGTGGTTGTGTTGGTATCGAACTTGGTCCGTCATTCTCGGTACCTGGAGGCCGGTGTCCAAGCTGTTCTTCATACTCTTGACGATCAAAAAACTCGGTGATTTTGATCTTCACATCGCACAAATCTCGCTCTCGTGCTATTCTCTTCCGCTTCTTCTTGTCTGGATCTGTGGACTTCTTGGTCCCTGGCGGACGCCCCTTTAGCCGGCAGTCCCAGTAATGGGATACAAAGCGCTTGCGTTTGTGTTTTTGCGTCGAGCGATGCGAGTAGATGTTGTCAATGTGTGGGAAATAGGTTTGGAACCTTGATTTGGATTAGGGCGCAATCATGCAAATAAGCATGGGAATTCTTACTGCTCCTCGGTCAACGTAATCATGTCATCCACGTGAAAAAGCTTATTCCTCCATTCTTCTAAATTTGGCGGGTTTGGAATGAGTTTGAGGCCTTGAAATTGACCATGGCTCGAGAATGGGGCGTCATCACTGTCATACTATCAGCAGCTGTTTAGCAGAACAACAGCATTCACGTCTAGACGAGTTGAAAGAGTCTGTGCAGCTTTTGTGTAGTGTATTGACAGCTGATATGCGTACAGAAACCTTCAACGCGATCTTGATTGTGGCGGGCGGTATCAACGTACCCGTCGCGCCCTTCCTGACGCTGCGTGTGCGTCTGTGTCTGTGTCTGTGTCTGTGGTTGCGGTTGCGGTTGTGGCTGCTGCTGGAGAGGCGCCTGTTCTACGTGCTGTGGCAATGGGTGGGTCGTTTGGAGTGCGGTCGGCACAGACGGCGAGAAGGGGAGCTGCTGAATTGGCTTTTGCGCTGCCTCGGGTGCAGCGATATGGTAGTGTTGCTGGGCATGTTCCTGGAGCGGGGGAGGGGGCGCATCCATGAAACGCGGGCTGGCGACATGTTGCTGGTAGCTTGCAGCCGGGAATGGTGGATAGGGTCCAGAGGGTGGCAGGCCACGCTGCTCAAAGTGGACGGGCAGGGCATGCGACGAAGGCTGTGGTTGAGGCGGGCCGGTCAGGGCGTATGATTGCTGGTATACTATGTCGGTGGTGTGTAGGGTCTGAAGCTCGGGCAGCCCCTGGTGGTGGGGGTACAGCGTGCCATCGGTCGACTGGTGGAGCGTCTGAAGGGACTCAGGGTGCAATCGAAGCTGCTGCTGGAGGACGGGCGAAGAGGCTTGTTGCATGATGGCGCCGTTGTTGGACGCTGCTTTAGCCCAAGCCGTTTCCGTGAGAGAGGCTGCTTTCCCGATGGTCCCCGATAGCCGGTTTGCCGCCTGATATTGCTGAGTATGCGTATGTGTATGTAAGTATATATGTATGTATTCCAGCTCGAGGCACGCGCTTCACATGGAGAGTCCCTAGTCTATGTCGCGACACTATCTTGTTTACTTCTTTGTCTGATTCAGCTCTGTATGTGGCTTTTTGTCCAGCTGCACGCCTAGAACAGCATTCAGCCGCCTGACTGGGCAGCGCTTGAGCTTCAACGCTTTGGCAGCACCGCCAACTTTGGGTCATCTCGACACTCAAGCACACACTACAAACGTCTCTTCGCATATCCGCCCTTTTCCTCTCGTCTAAAAGATCAAACCCAGTCCCATCAAAGGAACCGCTAACCCGCAACGCCATGCCCATGCCGTGACGAAGAGAAGCATAATCATAAACACAACCAAATCCACCTCCATTTACTCTCCAGGCAGCAAATTGCTCTTGACAGCAAACATCTTGGACGTGACACCCGCCGTGAAGCCATCTACCTGCCTTGAGTACTGCTCCACCTGCCTCGAGTTGAGGAGCGTCTCCAGTCTGCTTGGCTCTTGGGGCAGCTTGAATAGCCTCTGCCACTCGTCTTCTGGGAGGAGTGACTGCTTAGAGGCAGTGCGCGCAGCATTCTCTGCTTTGCGCTTTTGTTGCCAGGCGGTAATCTTGGCCTGCTCACGAGCGAGAGATCGCTGGTAGTATTGGTAGTTGTTGATCTCAGTATGGTGATTCTCAATGCTCTCGAGGAGTAGATCGCACGTCTTCTCCAGGAACGGGTCGATTGAGAGGTCAAGCGAGTCGTAGTTGGGAAACAGAGGTGGCTGAGGGATGTTGGGATCTTGCTGCAGAGCAGCTAGGTTGGGTGGGAACTTGAGCTCCTCCTTTGGTGCGCTCGATGGCAGTTGGTGGAGAAGAGAGGTGAGGAGGTGTGAGTTGTGAATGGTAACTGGAAGCTCGACTAGGATGTCGTGGTAGCGAAGGCCGCTCTTTTGTAGACTGCACTTGTTAGCATTACTCTCCGGCTATGTGAATGTGCATGCATACCTCTCAGTCGTGAACTTGCCCTCCTTGTATGCCGTAACAAACGAGGGCGAGAGCCTATATGCGCGCAGATTCAGGGTACCTTGCGAGCTCCTGCTCACATCGTAGACCAAGGCAACAGTTCTCTCGTTTGGCTGGCTCTGGTAGAAGTATTGGTTCTCGATTGTGTTCAGGTTGACAAAGTTGCCCATGCTTGTGCTGGTATACCAGCCCACGTTGTTCGCATCCACATTGACTTCACGAAGAAACTTGATCATCTCGTTGCTGTAGGCAATGTTCTGCTTCGCGCGAGGGGCGGCTGCGGCAAGGTTTGCGGCGGTCTCATTCTGTCCATCGGCCTGTGCGGGAGAGACGTCGGGGAAAGGGAAAGAGTTTGTGATCTCCAAGACATTGTTCTTCTCCATACCGACTATGCTGCCAGTCGCAATCGAAGGGAACGACTTGCCGCTAGCAGTGGCAATCTTAATCGCAACCTGAAGGCCAAACGTCAGCCCCTCATTCTTGCAGCGCACTTGAGAAAAGCATCTTGATGGCACAATAGCGGGGCGCACAGTGGGGTGCTGTCTCTGCGCTTTTCCAACGTACCAAAGCATCGATCTGTACTGTCTTGAACAGCACATCCTTCTGAGTGTCCGCCATCGTGAAGTCGGAGGTATACGTCGTGGGAAGACTCGGCGAGAATGCTAACGTTGGGCGTCCGTCGTGTCAGGAAGCAGAATTCGGACTCAGTGACTCTGCCAAGATTCACGCTGCAACCTAAGCGAACACATAGCGCTAGCTCTAAAATGGTCAAGCCCGTCCTTCCTCATCCCCTCTAGATACCCATGAAAAGGGACAGAGCATGGGTTAAGGCTCTGCTCGATAGTTTCTACAGAATCACGTGGGATATCTTCATGAAGATGTAAAAAGAGCTAATAACAGTTCAAGATTTAAGACAACAGCGCCCCCATAGATGCAATGGTATCCAACTGATAATTATGAGTGCAATGATTCCTCCCGTTTGTTCGTTATGCCCCAGTGTACTCCAGTACGACAAAAAAGCCTGACTTCAAATCATGTCCTGGTCCGAGCCGCCTTTTCCACCTTCTACATCTTCCGGAACTTCTAACCCTGTAGGTGATTTCTCTTCCTCGTCTCTAATCTCAACCACCTCCTTGGAAACACAAGGTGCGTTTACTTCAACAACATTCTTCCGTTTCTGATTGCTATACGGATTCCATCGGGGTACCACGGGCTGACGCTGTGACTTGCGATTGCTAGCTTTCGGGTTCCTTGCGATGGAACCATCATCCATGCGCATCCATTCTGTATCTTCATTATCGATGTGATCTGAAATATCTGCATCATTCTCGTCTTCCCAAATCATGAGATTGGTCCCGTTAATCTCTATTGATCTGCCACCAGTGCGAGGAACGAAGAAAACATCATCGCCAGTCTTGCTGAAGTCTTGTTCCCAAGTCTCCTTTTGTTGGAGCTTGAGAATGTATTCCATTGGTAAAGCGTACAAGACATTGTCATCCTTGTCGTAGAGCTCTTTGAGCGGATAGTCCAGGCAAGCCAGTCCAAATTTACAGTCGATTCGGCTGGATAAAGGGTGTATGCGACCACCAAAGATTTTCAGTTCAAAGGAGATTCCACTTTCTGTCCACATGTTGTCGCCAAAGAAAACTTCTGGCTCAGAAAGTAGAGGGTGATCGTGATGTGGCCCAGAAACCTCGCAGAAATGAGCTACTTCATGTGCCAGGCATGTAGCCAAAAACATGTTGTATCGCAATACCATGGCTGGCTCGCGATATCGTAGCAGGCTGAGCTTTTTTGCAGTGGTGTAAAAGTCTGAATGCAAGCAGATCCGGCTGGTATGACACTTGTGGTTGATTTTTCGCATCAAACCATTCTTATAGTCTTTTACTAACCCCATTGACGCGTATGCAGTCTCTGGCGGCAAAGGGTCGTGATGGAAGTAGAAGTGCAGCGTGTCGATTTGGTTATCCAGGAAGTTTTTGAATGTTGCTCCGCGCTCTTCAGACCATGTTACGTCTTCCTTGATACGAAAGCATGGCTGGCCATACATTGCTGAAGTTTCTTGACAACGCTCCCGCTTCCCAAAAACGAGGGTATGCCAAAAGTGAGCTGTTGCCCGAGAGGTTACCAGCAACGTGGCAAGCTGTAAGGCTGGTTTCATCACCTCATAAATCCCATCCGGACAGCCATGCCAGTTTTCCAAACGAAAGATTGGGTGGATGTCATTGTCAAGCGTGCACACCGGTGGAGGTCCGTTCTCCCCAAAGGCCACGGCTTGCTTTTTGATCAAATCAACTGGATCAAACCCAAGCTTCACCGCTTTCTTCTTCGAGTTTTCCTTACGATGGCCTAGAAGCCTCCGGTACTTCTCCAACGCTTTCCGATCGGCTATCTGAGCAAGATGGTGGTTGATTGAAATGCTCAGCTGGAGGCCAAAGTCCTTGGGAACCTCGATTGTCGAAGGAGTAAAGGACAGCGATTTTTGATAACTCAAGACATCGGGTAGATCATTGACTAGCTTGTCGATGCATTCGTCCATGATCTTGCCCTCTTTCATTTTGTGAAGGATCACCGCGTTTTCGCCCGTGTCTTCAGCCTGCAGATCGCCATCACCGCCACCAGGGAGAAGGTGTCGCAGTTTCTTCGACAAAGCTGGAGGCGGTCCACATTCCGGAGGTGGAGTGACTGACTCTGTGGGTGTCCAATCCATACTATCCGGGTCTGGTCCCAGAAAAGCAGCTTTTGGTACATCATTCTGGGCTGTCGCTTCTTCCTCAGGCTCAAAATCTTGCCTCAATCGATCCTCAATGAGCTGGGTTGTATGGAGCATCGCTTCATAAGCTTTACGATACCTAAAAGGATCCATTCTGGCCGGCGTTAGTATCCTAGAAGGTTATGGTCGGATGAAGATCGAGCCAAGAACTGCGCAGATTTAAAGCCCAACCGAGTTGTATGCAAGAGATGTGAATGTAAGTGGATGTGTAAAACGTCGGTTCGCTGAGTTTGAATGTCCTCCACGAAGCTGGGTTGTTTGTTTGAGATAGCACGTTCCGCGGTTGCTCCTGCGGGGAAGCAAAGATTCGCGCAGGCCGTGTATATTGTTTTCCACTTTGTCCTCGACTAGGCCAGCAAGGAGAAGTGAGACATCCAACTCCAGCCATCTCACCGAGTTTTGGTTTCAAAGCGACGGGTTGTATTGGTTGCTATGAGAAAGGGGGTTCGCGGGTGGAGGGCATGTCTTACTCAAGTCGACGAAACGATCAACATTCAAAACCAAGAAGCCAAGGCTGCAGAAATGCCAGCAGCGTGGTGGAGATGAAGAGTGGACAAGGGTCGGTGTGAGTTGTTTAGCGTAGGCAGTAGTAAATGCCAAGACCCGCTTTCTTGCTCGCCTGAAAGCGCGCGTCCCTTGTTGACCCATCAAACATTACATCAGCATCGCCGCCAACTGTCCTGAGAGACAAGAATTTCGTTAGTGAAGCATATTCGCCTATGTTTCCTTGGAAACTCATAGACATATATTTACCAGGACCTGAGCGTAATCCAAAAGCAGACTGTCTGGCTGCCTACTTTGCATTCCAGTGTACGTACTCAGCAGGTGTTTGGGCTCTCAAAAGCTTCTATCGACAGGCTAAACCTAATCTGTTATATTTCCAGTGGGGCGCTAATAGCCAAACAAACTTGGACTTGCTCACTTACACGCAGAGTTGTAACTATCATTTTGTAGCTTAAGTCTATCTTGGCTAGCATTAGGATGCACTTTTCAGAGTGACAGTATGGCGAGAGTATTTGCGCCAAAGTGTATCCACTGTGGAACACACGTAGATGCGCAACATGCAGCATCAACTGGTATTACGTCGGTCGCAGCCGGACAAGACCAACGATCCGGTAGATTTACCGTTATTTGTATATTCATTAGCTTTTTTATCGGTTCTACGAAAGGCTCCATATATTAGGTACATGATAGCTCGGCTGCATAACAACAAGTCCTTTTGAAATATCCTTGGAAATTTTGTTTATATTGGTACCAAAATATATTTGCTTGCAAAACTAAGGAGATCTACTTTAGAGATATGAAACTAAGGGTATGTCTATCGAGAACAATGTGCACTAAAACTCGGGTAAACAGACCATTGTGGACACAGTACTATCTCTTTTTATCTAAGTCCTCAAATCGCCAGCAGAGCATGGGAGATAACTGACCAACGTGTTAGCTTGGCGAGGGACCGAGCATTCAGTAGTTATTGAAACGGGTAAAACTAGCTAACCTCAACGTAGAAAATCCAACTATGCAGATGCCTTCAAGAAGCATCTTCTGGTTTAGACTTCATATTCCTTCTGGCGTGCACTTGACCATTGGAAACACAGACTAACCTCTTCAGATATTAGCGTGACCCCCACAAATCGGTATCTGCAGACGCCGATCTCCAACTTTTTTCGAGCTCAGCACTTTTGCGACAACGCGATCGCAAACCACATTACACAACCTATACCCTTTTTCATTCTCCAGTTATGGCGCCTGTACCGAGCGAGGATGTATCTTTGTTTCACACTGAGCGTATCTCGCAATACGTCTCTATCCCGCCTTCATGCCTTTCGGATCCCTTCTCAGCAGTATGCGCGACTGTATTATCACCATTGCTCCTCACCTACTTCCCGCCCGCAAATGGTGTAGTGCTCGCATATGAGGATGTTGAATTAAGCAGCACGCCTCCGACCGCATCTGCCACCAAATCGCATTCGAAACGTGCGCAGAACGACTCGGAACGCAACAATGATTCTCACGCCGAGCCTTTGCTTTTAAAACACGTCGATGAATACGCTGCACCCTTCCTCTGGGCAACTGCCTCGTTCCTCGTATGGCGTCCGGTTCAGAATGCATACCTACAGGCCCATATTACCGATCATGCGAAAACGCATATCACACTCGCACATCTCAACACTTTCCCCGTCAGCATCCTCAAGGAAAACATGCCTGCAGACTGGTCATGGCACCAGAACGAATCAGGCAAAGTGAAGAAAGGCTGGGACGACAAACTGTCAGATGAAGGCGGCTGGTGGGTGAACGGCAAGGGGAAGAAGGTGGAGGGTGAACTGCGGGTCAGGATACGCAACATTGATGGCAGAATGGATGGTAAAGGAAAGGGAAAGGGTTTCCTGCGTGTTGATGGTTCTCTACTTTCTCAAGAGGAGGAGAAGGCGGCAAAGGCGGCACAGAAGGCAGGAAGAGGAAACAAGAAGACTACAACAGACGCAGCGAGGACACAGCAGCGGAGAGATGAGACCAACGGAGATGTCATAGAGGTTGATTCAGAGTCTGATTGAGGCGCCCTGGGCAGTACTGGGCGGCGCATTGGCGTGGTTGCATGGCTTGTGGGTTCCGAGACCATAATTGCATTAAGACGGAGTTATGGCGTTGAAAACAGCAAGATGCATTTCTCAGCATCTATGATACCACCAAATACAAATATTCTAGAACTGGAATGCCTTTTTTTCTCGATATTCATGTGCACAGACCAATCAGACAACACATACCTCCGAGGCTCCGCAAACCGCGGCTTCAGCCTTGACCCTCACATCCCACCTTGACCACCAGATCACTCTCTTACCAACCATTG